GGTTCGTTTGGAAAAGAAAAAAACTGGTCAAATCAAAGGTTAGCAATACATTTTCCTTCAAACTCGATTTCTAATTTATGGGTTTCAGATTTAGGGATCTAGGGTTTAGTCTTTCTCAATTTGGGGATTTAGGGGCTTTCGATTTAGGATTTATCAATTTGGGGATTTACTGATTTCGGGATTTAGGCTTTCTCATTTTGTCAACTATTAGGAGGTGATCATGTTTGGTAGGAGACACTCTGTCATTTTTGGTGAATACGATACTGGCTCCAACAACAGCATTTCCTCATCTTTAGATGATGAACCATGTATACAAGAGACATTTCCACCTACAAATCGTCTGGTAACATGGGAGCCCACTGAGAAGGGCATTCCGACCCAGTGTTACTGAGGAGCCAAAGTTGTTGTTAAGACTCACACTTTTGGTTTGCAGAATGGGAGAAGATTCTATTGCTGTGAGGGAGATATTAGAGTAAGGAATACAAAACTGGAGTTCCCCTAAATTGCATATAACTGTCTTAATTATTTCTTAGGAATTCGATAACTTGTGATTGTTATTTAGGATGGAGAATGCCACATTTATAAGTTGTGGGACAACGCAATCATGGAAGAGACTGCTGCTATGAAGACCAAGGTGAGTGACCTAGAAGCTGGACTTCACCATTGTATCGTCTCTCTAGAAGTAGAGCCCCCTTCCATGATGTCAGATTTATTCAACATTTATGAGGAAGAGAGGGAGAAGGTTAAAGAGATGGCCTCTAAAATCGAAAGATCTGACAAGGAAATCAATGACCTTAGGAATATGGTTGTCGATCTTCAGACCAAGGTTGTCGAACTACTAGGTGTTCATCGAAAGATTTACCAGCTCTGATTGTTGGTGTTCTTCGGAACTACTAGGTGAAACTCGGAAAACTATGTGTAAATTCTAATTTCATTCTCTGTTTCGAACTACTAGGTTAAACTAGTAAAAACTATGTGTAATTTCCAATTTCGTTGTCTGTTTCGAACTACTAGGTCAAACTGGTAAAACTATGTGTAATTTCCAATTTCGTTGTCTGTTTCGAACTACTAGGTCAAACTGGGTTAAATTATATATAATATTCCATTATACATAGTTTTCTGCTTTTTGTTTGTTAAGTACGATTGTCTTGTCTTTCTATTATACTAAATGTAATATCGAATCTATACTAAAACAACACAAAACAACACAACATCCATAAGTACACAAAAACATCCATAATCCGAGTACACAAGAACATCCACAAATTTAACAACTGGTTTAACCAATAGTACGAGTACACAAAAACAGCAAGAATATAAACAAAGTACTAGATTGAGTTATTGGGGATTAGAGTTCACACGGGCACGCGTCTTTGGCTTCTCAAAATGCCCATGGGCAAGGTTTACGTAGC